TTTACTGCAGTAAGTGTACATAACAGATTTACTGCAGTAAGTGTACATAACAGAATCACTGCAGTAAGTGTATATAACAGATTTACTGCAGTAAGTGTACACAACAGATTCACTGCAGTAAATATACATAACAGATTTACTGCAGTAAGTGTATATAACAGATCTACTGCAGTAGGTGTATATAACAGATTCACTGCAGTAAGTGTACTTAACAGAATCACTGCAGTAAGTGTATATAACAGATTCACTGCAGTAAGTGTACATAACAGATTCACTGCAGTAAGTGTATATAACAGATTTACTGCAGTAAGTGTATGTAACAGATTTGCTGCAGTAAGTGTACATAACAGATTCACTGCAGTAAATATACATAACAGATTTACTGCAGTAAGTGTACATAACAGATTCACTGCAGTAAGTGTGCATAACAGATTTACTGCAGTAGGTGTACATAACAGATTCACTGCAGTAAATATACATAACAGATTTACTGCAGTAAGTGTACATAACAGATTCACTGCAGTAAGTGTACATAACAGATTTACTGCAGTAAGTATACATAACAGATTCACTGCAGTATATAACAGATTCACTGCAGTAAGTGTATATAACAGATTTACTGAAGTAGGTGTATACAACAGATTTACTGCAGTAAGTGTATATAACAGATTTACTGCAGTAAGTGTATATAACAGATTTACTGCAGTAAGTGTACATAACAGATTCACTGCAGTAAGTGTGCATAACAGATTTACTGCAGTAGGTGTACATAACAGATTCACTGCAGTAAATATACATAACAGATTTACTGCAGTAAGTGTACATAACAGATTCACTGCAGTAAGTGTATATAACAGATTTACTGCAGTAAGTGTATATAATAGATTTACTGCAATAAGTGTACATAACAGATACACTGCAGTAGGTGTATATAACAGATTTACAGCAGTAAGTGTATATAACAGATTTACAGCAGTAGGTGTATATAACAGATTTACTGCAGTAGGTGTATATAACAGATTTACTGCAGTAGGTGTATATAACAGATTTACAGCAGTAGGTGTATATAACAGATTTACTGCAGTAGGTGTATATAACAGATTTACTGCAGTAAGTGTATATAACAGATTCACTGCAGTAAGTGTATATAACAGATTCACTGCAGTAAGTGTACATAACAGATTCACTGCATTAAGTGTACATAACAGATTCACTGCAGTAAGTGTACATAACAGAATCACTGCAGTAAGTGTATACAACAGATTCACTGCAGTAAGTGTACATAACAGATTCACTGCAGGAAGTGTACATAACAGATTCACTGCAGTAAGTGTATATAACAGATTTACTGCAGTAAGTGTATATAACAGAATCACTGCAGTAAGTGTATATAACAGATTCACTGAAGTAAGTGTACATAACAGATTCACTGCAGTAAGTGTACATAACAGATTCACTGCAGTAAGTGTACATAACAGATTTACTGCAGTAAGTGTATATAACAGATTTACAGCAGTAAGTGTACATAACAGAATCACTGCAGTAAGTGTACATAACAGATTCACTGCAGTAAATATACATAACAGATTAACTGCAGTAAGTGTATACAACAGATTTACTGCAGTGAGTGTACATAACAGAATCACTGCAGTAAGTGTACATAACAGATTCACTGCAATAAATATACATAACAGATTTACTGCAGTAAGTGTACATAACAGATTCACTGCAGTAAGTGTATATAACAGAATCACTGCAGTAAGTGTATATAACAGATTCACTGCAGTAAGTGT